CTCAACTACAAGAGTGCATAAAATAATGTCAACAATGGTATGTAGGGTTAATATGTAATTTGAATTTTAAACTATAAGTTTAAAGGTGATATAAATTTTTAACTCTTATTTGGTACATTTTAAACTCTAAATAATTAAAATTGGTGTAATTTTGCCCCACCATTAAATTAAAGTAAATGGTAATTATTTTTTAAGAAGCCTAATATGTAATTTTCCTCAAAAGTGGGTAGAAAAGAGAGGGTGAGTAGAATTTAATGAAAATCACATATTAACCTTTATTTTTTAGAAAAATGACGAACATTTAATTTAATTTAACGATAGAAATGAAAATGCAGAAACTTTAATTATTTAAATTTTAGGACATATTAAATAAATGTTTAATGTTTAAATGCTCCTAGTCTTATAATTTAATATGCAAATTGCATATTAACTGGAGGCATGTATCCATTAATCAAAAGAGTACAGTAGTATGAGATAGTCAAAGAAGATGAATAGGCGATCTCTTTTCATCATCTACTACCTCTACAATAAGGTGATGGTTCATCAAAAGTCTTAAAGCTACAAATTGGCTATTTTCTGGCATGATCGCACGCAAATTGGCTATTTGAATATTTAAGATAATGGAATATATGGATTTAATTATCACGATTGTTTCATGACTTTTTGTTGATATATATTAACATTAATTATTTTTTTTTCCTTCTGTAATACATTGGAAATATGATAAATTAAAATTTTAAAAATTTATAAGGGTAACTTAGATACTTAGTTTTATATACTTAATATGCTTTTATTTAATCAAATCAAATCAAGTTTATTTTAATGTGTTAATACTATTAATTACAAGAGTTTGTCATATAATATATACTATATAAATTATCCACATGTTTTGATTTAATTGAATAAAGACACTTTAAATATATGAGGTTAGGTATATAAGTTTTTCCTAATTTATAAAACATATTCTTTTCAATTACAATAAATTTAACTAAAACGTATAATAAATTGAAATTACATTTTGTTAATTTATATCATTATCCTCAATATTCTATTATTTATGTCAGTAAATTATAACTGATGTGAATTTAAAGGACTAAACGGATAAAAATTAAATTTGAGACACCAAATGAATAACCGAGACAAATTTGGCTCCCTGCAGTATATTTACATGAATAGAGAGGATATTGAACAAAGTTATCCAACTAGATCTAATAATGAATAATACATCTAATGAATAGCATTATCAATATTCAATTATCATGGTCCTTGGTAACAATATTAAGCATTTTCTCAAACAATATTACACAGCAAGGCAAGGGTATAGGACCTTCACGTAAACTTTGAATGTAATCGTCGTATTGATCCAAAAATATCTGAAATTTTTTGGATGAAAAACATGATATTGGAACCATAAACCGCACAATTTCTTCTTCCTTTTCACCCACATTGATTGGGATGAAACCTTTTCGAATCTTCATGTTCTTCATATCTTTCTTGGTCTTTGACAGTGATGACCATGGCTTCATCATCACTTGGTGAAACTTGTACAGATCAATTTTCATGGGGGTGGATGAATTCTCTGATTTTGAGCTTTTGATTTATGAATCTCTGATGGGTGAATATATATAAGAAGAAAGGGTAAATATTGATCTTTTGATGATATCTGGATTGGATTTTTCGGTGCAAAAGTTCAATTCTTTTCTGTTTGCATATCTCAAAGATTTGTTGTAATTATTACTACAATGTATAAGAAAAATAATTGAATGCAGGGACTTATATATCATTGATATTTCATGATCCTTCATTTTCTTTTTTCATTGTGCAATTGTTCAAGACGTAGTTAAGGACTAAACATGGACAATCAATGGCAATGTCAGAGGTGCAACATTTTTAAATTTAATAATTTAAAAATAATTTAATAATTTTTTAAATTAAAAAAGCAAGTACATATCTTACTATTATATCTTGCATGCTTTATGTTTTGAAATCATTCAACAATCATTTCATTGTCAATATTAAAAAATATTTTTTCTAATATAAATCACTGAACAATTATTTATTAATAGATTTTCCATATAATTCTACAACCGATTTTTCACAAACTTCATAACTAAAAATATTTTTTCTACCATTGTTGTGTTAACTTCAAGAGAGTATAAATAAAAGGATAAACTATGTCTTCTTAATTTCACCAATTTTTTTACAAGACTACCAATTCTTTTTTGTGATGCAAATTAAGTATGGCTTCACATATGAATGATGTAAGTCTCAAATTGATTGTCAAGCATGATTAAATTAGAGGAAGAAAACTGATGTGGATAAAACTTGTCAAATTCCATTAACCTTTCTTATCAAAATTTTAAGTTAAACTTTTTTAGCCTTCAACTGAATATATTTTTTTTTTGAAGAAATTAATAATTTTTAAAATAATTTAATAATTAAATAAATTAATTATATATATTTATTACATTATTGGTCTTTGATCTAATTTAGTTTGGAGAACGAATCAAATCAATTTAAAATTTAAAATATTAAAAGGTGTGATGCAAATATGAAAGGAAGGATGTGCAAAACCTAAAATTCCTTAATCACTTGTATGTGGTTTTTCCATTGAGCATTGCCATCTCCTAATGAAAATTCAAATATAGATTTGATTACATTGTCAAAAACTAACCCTTTTTATTAAATCAATCTTTTTTCTTTTTTTCAAAGTAAAAAAAAAAATCCTTGTTTTCTTCGGCCAATGTATCCAATCCTTATTGATATTTCATGATCCTTCATTAATATTATTATCAATTTTTCTTTATGTAAATATATATATATATATATATATATCTATACATCTGTGAATCTCAAAATTCTATCATTTGGATGTGCTCATAAATATAGTTTGAATTTTTATTTTCAATTAATTTTACATAAAAATATTTTCAAAAATTTAACTGTCATTAATTGATATTCTTGAATCTAACTGTTATTAGTTAGTATCTAGAATTAGCATATTAAGATTATTTATTGTTATAATTTAATTTCATAGAAGATTTATTTGATTGGAAATTATGATGTATGCTATTTTTTTTTTTGGCCACATGATAGTTGAAACCAAAATAAGCATCAAACTCCCAACTCACTTAAACTTTCTTCTATTAAAAAAAAAGCATCAAATTGAGAATTCAAGTTAAGGACATCATTTTACAAAAAAGAGGGGGTTACGAATATCCTCTTTTCTGTTTGGGCTCTTGCTAGTGTTTGGACATTGGGTTGTTTGTTTCGTTCAAATACAATCCAGATCCACCTTTCGCCGGCCGAAAATATGTTAAAGATTAATTAAGCATAAAATCGATTTCAAATAATAAAAAATAATAAAAATAAAACACATTTCATATAATATTTTATAAAGGTAAAATTTATTTACTTTCACCTTATATACTTAATATATTTTTTCTTCAAAAAAATTAAGACAAATGGACTTTAATGTATTAATTACAATTTTATTTAAAAATTCACTTTTTTTTTTTAATAGCAACAGACCGGATTGTTGAAATTCAACTACTACTAAATTGAATAGAACCCCAATGCAATAACTCAAAGATGAAGCTTCTCCAATTTACATTGTGGCTTCAAACAGCTTCATAGCACTTAGCTTGTGGTCTTGGCTCTTATGCATGGCATATAGTCTAAAATGAATGATTCTATTTATTCATTAATAATAGTGTTGCTTTCAATGAATTTTAAAATATATATTGATATAGATACAAAGAAAAATTTATTATTTGATACAACTTAATTCCTATAATTTAACTCATTGTAGCTTTATCCCTAAACTTTAATTTAATGCAATTCAATTATTATAATTCTAATTATTTAAAACATTAATCCCTTATATTCAAGAAATAAATGTAGTCCTTATAATATTATTTTTTAAAAAAAATATAGGGACCAATATTTTGAATGGTGAAAACTATAAGAATTAAATTGCCCTATGTTAAAGTTTAATAATTAAGTTATAATTAAGTTTAAACTCTAAGAATTGAGTTGTATTAAGTCAAAATTTAAGGATTAAATTATAATTAAATTAAAATTATAAGAATCAAATAATTAATTTTTTCTAGATATATAGATATATATTATCCAAACGAAAGGATCAAAAGTCTTGGGATTTAACATCCCAAGGAATCCAATACAACAACAACAACAACAATAACAATAATAAGCCTTATTTTACCAAGTAGAGTTGGCTACATAAATTGTGTACATGCCATTGTGATTTACCATATACCAATCTTTTAGAAATGTTATTAATGAAGTGATCTCAATCAACAATTTCAGAAGGTATTTTCTTTAACCTTCCTTTACCTTTTTTAATAGAGTTCAAAATTTTTTGTTTTACTCTTCTCACTTATGCCTCTCACGATTTTCTTTATATATATCTAAACCATCTAAAATAATTTTCTACCATTTCTCTCTCAATTTACATATGTTTGTAAATCTACATCAACACTCTCATCTTTGTTACTCTAATTTTATGCTTTTGCTGTCCTATTATAACCCAACATTCATTACCATATAACATAACTCATCTTATAGCATTTCAATAAAATTTTCCTTCTAGTTTGTCAAGTACTTTATAATCACAAAAAATGCCTTCAACCTTTTTCTAACTAAATCACTCAACTTGTATTATATGTGCAATATCTCCTTCAATTTCTGCATCATGTAAAATATTAGCTTTCAAATGTCTTAATTTTTGCACTTAAGATATAATTTGATCTCTCAATTTTACTTTCAAGTTACTATTGATTGACCTCTTCTCAAAATTACAATGCAAATATTCCGTTTAACTCTTACTCAAATGGTAACCTTTTGATTCTAATGTCCTCCTCTATTAGTCAAGTTTATAGTTAATCTCTTTTTTGTCTTCGCAATAAGAATTATATTACGTGCTAAAAGTATGCATTTGGAAATTTGTTTTTAAATATGCTGAGTTAAAACATCTCGGATCAAGTCAAACAAATAAATTTTATTATACAAAGAAGCAAACTATACCATTCATTAATAAATATGTTGCTTTCTATGAATTTTATAATATATACACACTGTCCAAACAGAAGGGTCAAAAGTCTTGAGATTTTACTCTCGTATGGTTGTCCGGAGAGGTAGAGAGCTTTCAACTTCTTTGGCAGTATCAGAGTTTCTTTCTGTAACAAATTTGGACAACCCAAACATCTGAAACGAACCATAACCACGCAACATCAGAAGACAGTCAATGGCAAAGCCAAAAGGTGATGCAAATACATTAGAGATCTCAAGCAAAGCTTTCTAGAGTCAAACCTTTCGAATGGTTTTCTGAAAGCAAGTTTTGTGTTCACCCATAGAAGCACTTATAAACTCATCAACATGATCCTTCAAATCTTCCAAGAAAGTAGCTTGCTCATTCTTCTTCCTTCGACACGACGTAATAGGCGAGGCTGTCGCAGCTGATGAAGTTTGCCTTTCCTGCTGGTTTTTATGAGTGTCCATGCCTCTAAAAGACTCAATATCTGATAGAAAAGTTATCTCAGCAACACAAATCAAGAAGCTGCTATAATCTATTTTTTATCCTACTTCTTTAAAATAAGGCCAGTGTCAAATAACAGAAAACAAGTATTGAAGACGATATAAGACAGCAACACCTTTTATAAGGCAATTTTTGAAAAAAAATAAATAAATAAATAAAATAAACAAAAGAACAAGAAACACAAATATTTATTTTTTTATCATAATTTCATTTTTAGAATTCAGATACAACAGAAGGGTAAAAAAGAATAAGATCAGAAAAAAAAGGCATGTACTTCCCAGTCAGTCATTCAATATAACACAGCACTGAACAAGCAAGCTAAGAAAAAAGCATTCCTAAAATACCTCATATTTATTCCAATGCAAATATATACAGCTCAAGCATTCAAAAAGTTCTGTAACTTCTATCTGCATCTACAGGCGCGAAATCAAACTTCTCAAATAAGAAAGATAACATCACATATCGCATAAACAATATAACAATGAACATTAAAAGAAACAAAAGAAAATCACTTCCATTGTTGATAGAAGTTACCAAAAGAATAGCAATTGAGCAGTTGGACATCTGATAAAATTGTAACCATAGAGACAAGATTAAATAGCCTAGCTTGAAATGGTCCAAAAGAACAGCAGCGCAACCACCCACAAACACAACGATTATCCTCAAATGAATAAAACTGCATACCAAAGGCCACGAATTAAAAAATTCATTCATATTTGGCCTCCAAAAAGCATTGCTTAAGTACATATCAACCCAGCAAAACAGAGGTAACTAAAAATCAAAATGTACTCCCAAAATATTCTTATAAAAGCGTGATAAACAAGTTATTTTCATTATCACAGGGGACAATACAGTTTTCCCATGAAAGAATTTTTACACCTAAAATGTCCAAACAAAAGGTAGGTGTTATAAATAGATTCAACTTAATTATATCAACTTACAAACCAATCAAACACGCAAACTTTACGGGGAAGAATTAAGCACTAATCAGCCTTTAGCGGAGAACTCATACCAGGACACTAGAAATAGGTTTCGTGGAAAGGAGAAGGCTAAATCATACTAGAAGAAGTTCAACAGATTGAAAATTTATTTGCATAAACAGAACGTTGACATCGTTACATAGCTTGAAGAGAACTTAAATTATTAGCAAAGAAGAAGCAATACAGATTTGCACAGTTGAACATCAGCAACTTGTCCACTCTAACTGAATCGAAAATCATTGCTCATAAATGCAAAAGCCAAAGAGAAAGGCTATAATCGCATCGTCGAGAGGAAAAATTCAGATGAATAAAAGAAGAACCTTGAAGGCAAAAATTTCCCCTCCTCCGCACGCTAGCCCACCGGTATTCTATCGCCTCTGTAACCGCTATCACCTCCGGCGTCAATTCCCTCTTCTCCGTCAAGTCTCTGTCAACGGCGACGACACTGCATCGAGCTCCCTCACCCCGGGCTTACGGTAGTCGTTCGTTCTCGCCCACGCTAACTATTTGACCTGGCCCCCGATTAATTATGACTGAGAATTGGGAATATTAAACATTTGATCTTATGACTGAACTTTCACTGGCAATGGATTGCAACCTAATCCTTAAGCATTAATTCTTACCACTCAATTTTTATATTTTTAATTATTTAAAATATTATTTCTTATCTTTAAAAAATAAATTTATAAATACGAGAATTATATTAAAATTTATAATTAATATTTTTAAATTATTAAATATTTTTAATTTTTATAGAAAATATAAATATTAAAAGTTTAAAATATCTTTAATCTTTATAATTTTATTTTTTTAAATATAGAAATTAATATTTAAATAATTAAAACTATAAGAACTAAGTTACAAGAGGTAAAATTTAAAAACTAAGTTACAATCGAATTAAAATTATAATAATTGAATTATAACGACATAAAACTTAAAGATTAAATTATAACTAAATTAAAATTATAAGAATCAAACAGTTAATTTTTTTAAAGAATTTTACATAATTATGAAATTATGAATTATATGTTCTTTGAATTTTATTTTCATTTGTTGGCCGAAAAAGAAAAGAATTTTTTTCACAATAAATTTCATTTTCTTTTTAAGAATAACAACAAACAACAATGCAAATTTAGGACTTCTTGTTTAAGTTTTGTTATATAAAAATCATTTATTTTTTAAAAAATATGTTTTCTGAAATTTTATGATATTTATAAGAATTTTAACTGTATTTAATAAGTTTTGTTATTTAATAAGTTTTGTTATCAGTCTTCACTCTTCACAATTTACTCCAAAAACATCTGATAAATTGAAACCATGGAGAGTCACTTCAACCATTTCACTAATTTTAAATTTTTATTGATCTGCACAATTTGGTTGAAAATCACTAATTACTTGAATATAGTATAATAAAATAAAGATATAATTAACAATATATATACATATAATTTATACAATATCTCACATTTTGAATTAAGTGGAGCTTTTAAAGAACGTCCTATATTTTGGTCCCGTGGCCCATAGGAAGTATTCTATAACATAAGATGTTTTGGAGAAAATGATGATTCCTTATAAAAAAAAAAATACCATTTATTAATTAAGTGTGAGCTAGGGACTATATTAAAACATCTAATAACATGACTCGAGGGACCATTTTGAAAGCTCTGATGGCTATATGCAAATAAAGTAAGAATTGAATTATCACAACACTTGACCAGAAATTGAAGTGGCCAACGGCTATGCATGCATTGAATCTCCGCCGATGAAATTAAGAGGGCCACTGATGATGCAATTTCTACCTTCCTCAGCCACAGTTTTAACATCATCAAACCATATAAGAAGTTTCGTTTCAAAGGGTCTCTATGACCAAACGCTTGAGTTGTACAAGGAGCTTCATGTCCATGGTTTTCACGCTATTTCATCTATTCTTCCATCAGTCATCAAAGCATGCTCTTTTGCACAGCGTTATGGTTTCGGTTTCCAGCTTCACTGTGTAGGCATCAAGACAGGCTTGGATTCAGAAGCTGTTGTGTCCAATTCCATCATCTCTATGTACGCCAAGTTCTCAGACGCTCAATCGGCATGTAAAGTGTTCGACAAAATGCCTCACAGAGACTCCATCACTTGGAATTCCATGATAAATTGTTATTTACAAAACGGATATGTCATAGAAGCTTTGCAAACGTTAAAGGAAATGTATTCGTTTGATCTTGTTCCAAAGCCAGAGTTGTTGGCCAGTTTGTTATCCATGTGCGGAAAAATAGGTTTGAGTGGAGGAAGACAGATTCACGGTCTTGTTATTGCTGATGAGAGAATAGAAGAAAAAGAGTCAGTTTTCCTATCAACAGCTTTGATGGATTTCTATTTTAAATGTAATGATTCTCTAATGGCTTCTCGTGTGTTTGATGGAATGACGGTGAAAAATGATGTTTCATGGACTGCTATGATATCTGGGTGGAGTTCTGATCAAGATTATGAGAAAGCTTTGGCACACTTCAGAGCAATGCAGGCTGAGGGAGTTGAACCAAATAGAGTTACATTAATTGCTCTGTTACCAGCTTGCGCAGAGCTAGGCCTTGTGAAGCATGTGAAAGAGATTCATGGCTATGCACTCCATAGTGGTTTTGAATCAGACCATAGTTTTTTATCAGCTCTTATAAATATGTACTCTAAATTTGAGGAATCATTTCATCTTTCTGAGTTAATTTTCAAAAGGTCAAGTTATCAAGATGTGGTGTCATGGAGTTCAATGATTGGGGGCTATTCTCAAAGAGGGGATGGTTACAATGCCTTGAAGCTTTTCAGACAGATGATGTTGGAGGGAACAGAACCAAACTCTGTAACAATGCTGGCTGTAGTTTCTGCTTGCACTATCTTATCTTCACTAAGGCATGCTTGTCGAATCCATGGTTATATCTTGAAACTTGGCTTAGATTTTGATATCTGCCTGGGCAATGCACTTATAAATATGTATGCTAAGTGTGGTTGTCTGGATGATTCACACAAGATATTCCAAGAAATGCTGAACCGAGATTCAGTTTCATGGAGTACTTTGATTAGTGCATATGGCCTGCATGGATGTGGTGAACAAGCTTTAAAACTTTTCTATGATATGAAAAACAGAGGAATGAAGCCAGATTCCATCTGTTTCCTTGCTGTTTTATATGCTTGTAATCATTCTGGCCTTGTAGCTGAGGGACAGAAGTTATTCAAACAAATAAGTGAAGATTACAAATTACCATTAACCATAGAGCATTATGCATGCGAAATTGACCTTCTGGGAAGGTCAGGGAAGCTTGAAGATGCTTTAGAGATAGTGAGAACGATGCCAATGAAACCTAGCCCAAGAATATGGAGCTCTCTGGTATCATCTTGTAAGCTTCATGGAAGACTGGACATTGCAGAAATGCTAGCCCCACACCTTATAAGATCAGAACCAGAAAATGCAGCCAATTATAACTCGTTGAATATGATTTATGCAGAACGTGGTCGTTGGTTTGATATTAAACAAGGGAGAGAATTCATGAAACTTCGAAGATTAAAGAAATGCTATGGATTCAGCCAAATAGAGACAGAAATTAGAAACTAGGAAAAAAATTTTGTAGAACATATTTGAATTCTTTCATACCACAGGCGTCAGAGGACGAGAAAATCCATGTGCTTAGAATAACAAGAAACGACGCTCTGTTGATGCGAAACATCCTCATCACCATCTATGATGGCCTATGTGAGTAAATCAGGATTAGTCTCCTCAAGTTTTACCCAGACCGATGTTGTAGATCTTATTCAGCGTAACAGGAGTCAGGAAGGAATGGAATAAGCAAATTATTGATGCATATTATTCTCTAGAGGTCAAGTAACATATCCTCGAAACCCCTTCAATCTTTCGTCAAACGGAAGATAAACAACTTGTTTGGAACAAAGATAATAAATGAGTGTTTCAATCCAAGAAAGCTTTTGAGGAACTAGCGATGCAAAAGGGTTCAAATACAGGCTCACCGAGTTATTATAGATGTAGTTATGGAAGCTGGAACAACCACTAATGGAGTGATAGAGATGCGGCGGGTAAAAGTATTATATTACTCTTGTTCTCAGTATTTAGAAAGCTAGGAATCAAACTTTCCATGAAAGGAAGGTAGAGCCTCAGCAATTGGCTCACCAGATTCAAGAAACTATTTTAGTGACCCTCGGGTGCACTTTAGAGACCAGTCTGATGTAGCTATAGTGACAAGCAGACCAAGGTGGCCATTCATAATCCAAGTCCTCAGACGGAAAGGTGAGGTTGGACCACGAGTTTGGAAAAAATAAGACCGAGTAGGTAAGCAAGTTACTTACTGAGGTCCTTTTATTTCTTTCTTCCTGTTTTTTGGGTGATACATCGGGGTCATTTGTAATGAAGGTTTCATCAGCCCTATGGTCGGATCTGTGAGGAACAATGATCGTTTGGATGTCGGTAGCTCAGACCTCAATATATTGTGTGCTTTAACAAGCAGTTCATATCTTACTTAGATACTAGCCATGGATACATAGATGGAGATCCAATCGGACAAGACATCACCAGTGTAATGTCAATTATTTTTCGAATCTTCAGACAACTGCTTCAATGTTGTTGTGCACTTTTAATAGTAGAGGTTCATTCATCAGAAAGGGAACGATGCTCTACCTGCTCATCTATTTCTGTTTTTTTTTTTTTTTCAATAATTAGATGTGGCCAATGTTTTGCATAGAATTAGTTTTGTTTTCTATATTGTTTTATACTAATATATATTCCTTTTTTGATACTTTTTGTCTTTTCTGTTCACTTTTCTTTAAAATTCATTGATTTCCTTCCTAGAATTAAAGCTAGCTTTATGTGCATTATTTCAAATCACCTGTTTGATAATCTACTGCTGTGCTTAACGCGAGGATAATATTCAAGATTGAAATATTCTTTTAAGAATAAACTAAGACAATGTTTCCTGCAAAACAAATAAAAATTTACTTCAACCTAAGTATACCAAGCCAAGCCTAAAATCAATACATAAACATGTCTTCAAATGGGTCTTACAAAAAAAAAAAATGTGCCTATCATTCATAATGGTCTTTTATAAACAACACATAACCCATCTCAAGATTCAGTTAGAGCACCAATTGAATGTTTCAGTTAACATATCCAGAAATTATTTGCAGGGTTTAAGGCTTTAATCCATTCATTGAATTACTTATTTGATATACTTGAGATCATAACCTCCCTTTATTTTATTGTGCATATCATTGGACGTTGCAATTCATCACGCCACTGCCTCACAGTTACACACACCGTATCTCAGGGATATATCTAAAGACTTCAATCTTTTCCTCTCAATTCAATTCACTAATAGACTCATAATCATAGAAAGCTGCAAAACATAGATTACTTAATGAAGAATTTCAATATACATATATATATATATATATATTTGTACCTATGATCAACCGATCTTCTTGTATTAGTATGGTGGGTAATGATAGGACTAACAGTACTCTGGGTGAACTTATTTAATCTCTCTGTTTTGTGAGTGAAGACCGAGTTTATATTTAAAAAAAAAAAAGTAAAAAAAAAATTAAAAAAAAAACAAAGTGATGGTGCATAAGTATTCTTGCTCTGTAAAGTGCTTCAGTGAAATCCATTTCCAGGATGATGAAGTTATAAGAAAACAGTACATAGATAACAGTTATCCTAAGCATAGTATCCTTGCAATGTTAAAAACTCTCAAACAATAATAATAATATACTAGAGAATGTGAATGTTGAAAGAGAAAATATAAAGACAATTTTATATGATATGAGCCTTCACTACTATTAAAGATCTCAGTGAGTAAGTACAATATACATTTGTGAACTAAAAGGGGTTAGAGGAAAACTTAGCTGAATACATTCTGTGTGGCAAGAAAATTTCAGTACTTACAAGCTCTGTGAATAAATTGCAAATTAGCTAATTAATGAGTCATCAAGATCCTTATCCACAGAGAAACTTGAAAAGGTCTTGTCGTCATAGTCAAGCCCTTCTTCGAATTGTTCCATTTCATCTTCATTCATATATAGTCTCAGTTTTTCTCTATAAAGCATCAGTTGATCTTCCAATAAGCTAAACTGAGATTCATTCTGCAAGTTAATCCACTGTAATGACTCAATCACTTCGTGAGCATGTTGTTGCTTCTGCTCTGCCATTCTCCGGAATTGATTTGCTTCCATTTCTACTGAACTCTTCTCACTCTGAAGCCGAAGAATCATGGCCATCGCTTCCTCTGCTGCTGATTCAGATGCTCTTCTTTCTCTCTCAAGCTCTTCACAGGCTGAATCTGCACGCTGCCTTTCAATCTTCACCAGTCTTCTCAGTGTTGTTACATCGATTTCCTCATCCTCATCATGAACTTCACTTTGATTATTATCGTCTTTCTCTTCTGAGATGTTGAAATTGGTATCAGCATCATCGTTAGATTTCGCGTTCTCTTTACCAGAGATTGAATTGCTTTTGTTCAGTACATCTAGATTCTGAGAAGATTCCAGTGGGCCACACTTGAAATGGGTGATCATTGAAGCGCATACTTCAATGACGCCATTTTTGAAGAAAAATCCATTTCTGGGTTTTGATCCAAACTCACATAGAAAGCGCATCAAACCCTTAAAATGGCAACCAAAATGCAAAAAACTTCATGCATAACACAAAAATCAAGAGCATCGCCAATCCATTAAGAAACCGGGAGAAACTTCCGCGAATAACAAACCCAAATCCAATCTCACCTGCCTTAGTCAAAAACTTCAACATCGAAGTAACATCCATCACCCAAAACCCCACGAGAATTCGCAGAACATACAACTCAAGAACAGAGTATACAGAAACCAGCACACAGTAACGACCCAGAATCTGCATCTGCGGCTAGGAGATGCTAACAGATAGCATGACAGAGGAAAGAATTTAATCTCCGACCTTGAGGAAAAAATCTCAATTTTTTAAGATAAAAAATGGATAAGCGCTCATCATGAAGTGAGAGATTTCTGACGAGAGAGATAAAAAGGAGATAAAGGAGAGAAGAGAATGCTGAGGGCGTGGGAAGAGTGTCGCGAAACAGCGAGGTCAGAGACAGACAAATAGAGGTGGGGTACTGTATTACCGTTACATAAAATAATTATTAAAATTAATAGACGTAATAATAATACGGATAATTACTACAAATACGAAATAATAATACGTTAAACGGAAATTTGACCTCAAATACTGCAAAAAAAAAAATATATTTTCCCAATACTATACTTTTAAAAATATTTCCCTAAATCCCATAAATTTGAGACTTAGTTTATATCAGATCGAGATTCAAATTTTTTTTACATACAGGAATACAGAACTTGGTCTCAATCAAACAACGTTCCCTACTTATAATTACAAAAAAAAAATTATTCTTAATTTAGGATAGCCTATCATTTTAATTTTAAAGTATCCTTTTTTCACTTCCTACCTCCTCTCTCTAGGTTACATACTTTGGAATGATTAATGAAAGTTTATGTCTTCTTCTCTCTAGGATAGCGCCGTGCGCAAAGAGAGAGGGGGGGGGGGAGTAGGAAGCGAGAGAAGGATATTGAGAATTGAAATGGTAGGCTATCCTAAATTAAGCATATTTTTTTTTTTTTGTTGTAATTATAAGGATAGAACTTGGCTTGATTGAGGCCAAATTTTGTACTTTCGCGTGTGAAAAAAAATTTGAATCTTGGTTTGAGATACATTGAGTATTAGATTTATAGCATCTAGAAAAATATTTTTGAAAGCATAGATATGAGTAAATAAGATTTTTTTTTTTTGTAGTATTGACGTCAAATTGCCCACGTTAAACTTTTCCTTTCTTTTTTTTTTTTTTGATTTTTCTAGCCAACTATTCCTTTTATTTGTTATAGGATTCATTTCATTTCCAATGTTATAAAATACTCTTTCCATTTAAAAATATAAGACATTTTTATTAAATCTCACCCCAATAAAATAGTTACCTACTTTCAAACTAATCATATCTTTTCATATTTATCTCTATTAAACACCCAACAATAAATATAAAGTCATTATCAATACTGATATTTAAAAAAAAACAATGATTACATCTCAAAAAATTAAAAATGTCTTATATTTTTTAACATTCAACTTCTCAAAAAATACCTTATTTATTTAAGGGAGGAAGTATAATTTTTTGATTTATTATAAATTCTCTTGTTCTCTTATTTTATGAATTTTATCATTTATAGATAATAATATTCTGCATTTTTTTAAACTGAAATTACTCCAAATTAACTCTATTAATGTATAGTAAAAGTATTATAATTTGAAAAAAAAATAATTAAGTGTAATTCTCCCAGAATTTAATCATGTTTAATGCTTACAGTTACAGGAAAATTATACTTATAATTATTCATCAAACATATATTCATATGATTAATTATAATTTAATAACCACGATCAAGTTTTTATTTTCTGGCCAAAATTTTGTATTATTGAACTGGTATTGAACAGTTGCATATTGCTATAACTACTTGACAAAAGTTTTCTATTTTATTTTATAGTTTTGATATGAACCAAATTATATATAAAAAATAAATAGTTGTGTCAATACACCAGCCAAGGTATTCAACACCTGTGAATTATGTAATCTATTTAAATTTTATATTTTATATAAATTGATAAATCAATATCAATATAATAATGATCAATACCAAATACAAATTAGAACGCCACATTATTTATAGATTTAATAGAACAAGGATTTATGCTTTTTTTTAATTCTTTTAATTCATCTTCACACATTTCATTTTTGGTGCAAGTTTTTTTTAATTCTTTTAATTTCTTTCCATATTTTAGTGGGATTAAATTAAAACATAAATAGTAATTATTAAATTCAATTTAAAGAAAATTATTATATATTCACATGGGAAAAAAGCTAGTTGGCAGCTAGTTGTCCAGAGGAAAAAAAATACGATTTTTTTTTAGAATATAAAATAAAATATCTTTGAAAACTTAAAACTTATTTTTTTTAAAATGTGTTTGATAAATAAAAAATATAAATTGAAGAATAAAATTATTGTTTTAATAAGTATGTCAAATGCATTTTAAGAAATTAAATTTTTCAAGAGTATTTTGTTAATATACTTTTTTTGTCTTTTATGAGACCACAAATATAGTTATTTTAGTAACCAAAAGAAAAAAATAAAAAAAAATGTCAAGTTTTGTAAGATATTCATCAGATGACAAGATTTGAAGAAGACGGTTAGGTATTAGGTAAAGATGAGGTAGGAAGAAGAACACGAGGCTAAGAAAAAAGGAAATTAATGACGAAGGACCCGAAAGAAATTTATATTAATTAAAAATTAATTGTTGTTAAAATATAAATAAAAAAAATTTAAATAAATTATTGTTAATTTAGAATAAGTTATTATTAAAATATAAATTAATACTTATTAATAAAAAACTAATTCAAATAGATAAATATCTATTCGAGTTTTGACAATAAGCAATCATAGATTGATATAAATTTTTTTCACTGATCCTTGATTTATATTTTCCCTGAGAAAAATGAAACCAGCCACCTAAAATCTCAACTAGTTCTTATCGTTCAGTGAGGTAAAGTATGGATTTTAGAAATGAGGTTTTCAGTAATAATTTCATCTGAAATTTAAATAGAAAATTTTTAGGGAAAAAAATATCTTTCTATTTTGAGTGTTACCTCTGAGCCCCTCAGGATTGTTTGTACTTGATGAGTATTTTGAATGTTGATTGATAATTATTGTAAGCCATTTTTTCATATGCTATTCAATGCTCTCATTTGTGTTGTAAATCATATCTTAGAAGTGAGCTTATTTTTGCAAATGGCAATGGATTATTTTTTTGATTGATTTTTTTCGGTCAAAACCAAACAAAATCGACCACACCTAATCAAAATAAATCAATCCAAAAAAATTCAATCAAAACCAATTATTAAAAATGTTTGGTTTGGTTTTTAGAAATTTGAAAACCAAATGGTTTTGTTCAAATTTCAGTTTTTTTTTTCTTCTGAAACGTTAACTACACCTTTTTATATTTTAAATATATTTTTATGGCTAAATTAGAATTTTTTTTCTTTGATTTTAATTAAATCCTAGCCTAAAATAATTTAAAAATTAAAAAACCAAAATAATCATTCACAGCTTTCAATAATTGAATTGCTCCCCACATTGCATTATTTTCTTCCTCTCATCCTGAAAGTGAAAACTTTTCACTAGAAGTAAATATAAATTACGAAACAGCAACCAAACAGTACCACATGAGTTTTTCCACTCTGGTGAGATGGTACGAATTGTTATACTGAATGACAATGCATTTCAATCAAGATCTGTTGCTTAGTGATGAATATCACCCAGAAGCTCTAATGAAACCAAATTCATGCATCTTAAAGAGACTGAAATCATATGTTTTCATTCTCTTCTGTTGCAGAGAATTAAAAGTCCAGTTACGTTATTCTTACATTATTTAGTGAATAATATGATGCTTAAATATTGATTTGGATGACGAGAAAAGTAAGAAGAAAACCAAAAGGGAAAGAAAATTAGGAAATGAAATTTCAAAAAATAGTAATTTTTTTTGCGATTTATTGTTGTTTTCTGCGCTATTTTTCCTTCCTTCTTATTTTTCTTTCCATCTAAACGGCGGACGCAGATCTTTCATTTAACAAGTTTCTTTTACCTGATCGAATCTTTTCTCAAGCAAAATCATAACAATTTGTGGTTTTCTCATTGAGATGCTAGTGGTTTAAGTTATATTTTATATTCTTTTCTGGCATTTCCATCAATATTATGTGTCCTCAAATAATTTTCTTTAGCCCTCTTGTGGCAATTTGCCAGAGACCAGATCCATCTTGGTGACCAAATATATCATCCTTATGCCAAGTGTTCAATCTCTACTCATGCCTAACACTTTATACCTCAAACTGCAGGTGGAATGTGAGACAAAACAACTCAATTTCAACTTTCAATTCAATCTGAAAAGATTACATTAATAAAAAAATACAAACTGATTGAAGCTATGCATAACTGTTGCAAACTGATATTTTTAGTAGTTAAGTTGAAAGTTAGACTTAATCATTTATGGGGCTTGACTTTTGCCCGTTTTCAAAGAATGTGAATGCAAGAAATTTCAATGTAAAATAATCTCTTAATGTGAGAATGTGGGTACAATATTGAAATATCAGAAGAACAAAAACTTATGTCTTTGTTCTTCCCTTCAGATGACTTCATCACTGAATGTTGAACATATGTTGGAAGACTAGGAAGTGCAGCTTCCAAGTTAAAAACTTGGATTGCTTGTCTTATTGAAGGTCTATTATTGTGATCAGGATGAGCACATCATAGACCAGTAACCATCAAGCGATGAATTTCTGATGTCTCAAAATCCCTATTTAGTCTTGGATCAGCAGCTTCAAGAACTCTCCACTTCCATAAAGCCCCCATACCTATTCCACCATGATCATTTCATCTCTCTGCCACAGGGTCAATAGGTTTTCTTCCACAAGCTATCTCCAAAGTAACAATTCCAAAACTGTATACATCGGATTCCATAATATCCCTGTGAATAACACATTGGTCCCATTCTTCATGTAGGTACAATAATGCAGATGCCAAGCCTTGAGGTATTTTATATTTTGTTTCCCAATTCAGCAAGCTTTGGTTGTTGAAGAGATGAGAATCTAAGCTTCCATTTGGCATGTATTCATAAACGAGCAAAAGTTCTTTTCTTCTGTGACACCAACCAATCAGTTGCACTTAAGTTTCTGTGCCTTAGTTGATTGACAATTCTCACTTCTGAGGCGAACTCCTTCATTCCTTGTTTAGAACCCTCTGATATCCTCTTATGGCAACACCATAATTTGAATCTTTGAGAAATCCTCTATAAACAGCCCCAGATCTTCCTCCCCCTAGTTTCTGGTCATCTCTGAAATTATTTGATGCCCTTGTTAATTCAGCATATTTGAACTTTCTGGGACATGTTCCTCTCTCAAATTCTTCGTTCATGTACTCATCAGACCCATGACTATCCTCTAATTCTTAATT